CTCGGGCCGGCGGCCGCCCGGTGGCACCGCGCTGGGGACCCGCCAGTGGTGCTGCCATCGGCACCCCGTGCACCGCGCTGGGGACGTGTCCCGCCCGGGGCACCCTGGTGGCACTGGCTAAGGACACCTCGGTAGCACTGTGCTGGGGGCACCCTGGTGACGCTGGTTAAAGGCATCCTGATGGCACTGTGCTCTGGGCACACCATGGCACTGCAGTGGAGACATCCCTGTGGCATCCCACTAGGGGCACCCTGGTGACACTGAGTTGCAGACCCCCTGTGGCACCACACTGGGGATGCCCTGGTGGCACCACACTTGGAGCAATCGGGGCACCCCGGTGACACTGGGTTAAGGGCATCTCGGCACACTGCACTGGGGACACCCCAGTGGCACTGCGCTGGGGCACACCCACAGGCTGTGAGGCACTGGGGGACACCCACAGGATGGCACTGCACCCCAGGGACACCCACAGGGGGTGACTGTGCTCAGGGGCACCCACGGGCTCTGACAGCACTTGAGGACCCCCTAAGCACTGTCACAGAGCTCGGGGGGAAAAACCCCAGGGAAAAGTGACGTAGCCCTGTTGTATTGCAGCACCATGGGGCAGGAAGGCACCGTTCGGGATGGGCTCCCCAGCGTGGTGCTGAAATCTCTGCTGGGTTTCACCGTTATGGCATGGCCGCTTGTGCCCGGGACCTATAGACAGGCACGCACTGCGTGGAATGCTGTTGGCCGCACCACATACCAGCTGCCCTGCACAACCCGCTGCTTTCTGCTCTAAATAAACCAAAGTCATCTGAGAAAAAAAATACAAACCCTTTGCATCTGGGATCCTCTAAAAATAACTCGGCTTTAATAATGCTCGTAAATGTTCCTGGCGCATTCCCAGCTGCAGGGGTGGGCTCCCAAGCCGGGGGTCCACAGGAGCCGCTGGACCAAAGTCAAGAGCCCAAAGTCCAAAGCCCAAAGCTGGGCCAGGCTGCTGGCGAGGCTGGCCTGAAGGAGGCACAGGCAGCAGCTCTTGCAGGAGCCAGGGAGTGAGCTCGGCCTCTGGTTTGTAGGGAGGCGCAGCGGAGACACAGGCCGGCGCCGCTCGCCGGCCCCCCCCCCGGGCCGTATTTGTGCAAGGAGACTCAGTGACTGCCAGAACAAAATGTCCAAGGAGAGGAGGAGCCGCTGTCTCTGGGCACTCGTGGACTGGGATGGATGGCTTTTCAAAGATGTTTTAGCCCAGAACAAGTTAATGGGCTCGGCCCCTGGATCACACTGATCTGGGCAGTGGGAGCAGCCAGGCAGGATACTAGGGGGGTCCTGCAGTGCTTCGGTGCTTAAATTGTATGCTCAGAAGGACACATCCCCTCGCATTATGCTCCTGCCATCTGGTTAGGTGCTGTGTGCTCCAGCCTTGGCACTCGGAGATGGACAGAGAGGGATCACAGGGCTGGGACCCATGTGGCCCAGGTGCCCTTCCATGTCTGGCTGCCCTCTGAGGGGGAGCCGGTTCAGGGTTCCCACTTTATCCCATCTCTGAGGGATGTCTGAGATGGGAGGTTCTGGCCCTCTGGGCTCCCTTTGCTTGGGCTGGGGGAGAAAAGGCACCTTCTGGTCAAGGTCACCCGATTGTGAATAGACTAGACTGGACTAGACGAGAATGCTTAAGGTTGGAAGGGACCTCTAGAGGTCATCTAGTCCAACACCCCTGCACACGCAGGGTCACCTAGAGCACGTGGCACAGGACTGCATCCAAGCGGGTTTTGAAGATCTCCAGAGAAGGAGACTCCACAACCTCTCTGGGCAGTCTGTTCCAGGGCTCTGTCACCTTCACTGTTAAGAAAATTTTCCTTAAGTTCCTGTGGAACTTTTGGTGCTTCAGTTTGTGGCCATT